AATGGAATGGTAATTAACACCGCGTAAACTGCATTCCAAATTTTTTCTTTGGCCCATCGCAGCATAAACCCGCTTCTAAGGTACAAGGATACTACCATAGAAAAAACCAATGAGTTCACATATCTCGGAATGACTTTTGACACAAAGCTAACGTGGAAAAGGCACATTGCTACATTATTAGAACGAGTCTCCAATAGACTGAATGTACTGAAGCGTCTTGCTGGTAGCGTATGGGGCTTTGCACGCTCAACTCATAACACCACTTACAAGGTGTTTATTCAGCCAATAATGTTGTATTGCTGTGAGCCACTCATTTCAGCTACAGAGGTGACTCTCAAACCACTCGAGAAGGCACAAAACCAAGTATTACGACTAATTACCGGAGGGATAAAATCAACACCCATTGATGCAATGGCCTAGTTAAAGGAAGCACACCAATATGTTCCCTTATCAAAGGGAAGGCCTTGATCCTGTACGAGAAGCTACTGCACATTCCCATGGATAAGTTCTTCAGCACCTATGAGAATAGACCAAGACATCTGAAAACGCAATCTGGTCTAATACAGAAAGCCATAGAACTGAAGAAAGCATTGCAAATCGATGACAAACCAAAGAGCCTCTCTCTCCTCATGAACCCATTGGCAGACACTGATGTAGTGTGTTGCACCCAAACTGCTTGACTTCTTCAGGAAATCAAACACCCCTCTAGAGCAAATGCGCTCACTTAGGAAAATCAGTGTCAACTAACCTGGAGATCAATGGCTCCAAGTCTTCACTGATGAGTCATACGTAGAAAACCAAGCAAACATTGGTGCAGGTGTCTATTCTGAACTCTTCTCTTTCTACGTAGCAGTGGGACACAATAGATTCGCTTTTGAAGGAGAAATAGAGGCCATTAGGATAGCACATGCCAATTTTGTTGCCTGGATACGAAATTTACTAAGCGATACTTTTGGACTCACAGTCAGCGAGAAACTCAAGCGGTGATACTTTCGGACTCACAGTCAGCATAAACTCAATTGGTATATCTTTCGGACTCACAGTCAGCAATAAACTCAATTGGAAGCAAAGTGCCACCCGAAACAGCTGAGATAAACGATTGTAGAAACTCTATCAGCTGCTGAGAGAGAAAAAGAAAAGAGTGGTATTACAATTGATTCCTGGTCACTGTGGTATTAAATGGGCCTCTCTCTACCCATGAATCCATTATCAGACATTGATATAATGGATTCCTGGTCACTATGGCATTAAAGGCAATGAGATTTCTGACACACTTGCTAAGAAGGGGACACCGATTTTGCAATGCATGGACCGCCTGGTAAGGGACAACGATTTTGCAATGCATGGACCGGTCGATGTCTTTCCAAACAATGAAGGCCTTTATCAGGAGAGAATTCCAGACCTCTAGGTGCAACGAACTGAAAGATCGAACAAAGGAGAAACAGTGGACAGTGGTACTCTCCGACATACCCGACTGGCCAAGAATCGAAGTTGTTGCTGAGTTTAGACGACGTACCAGACGATTGCTTGGCAAAACATCTTCACAGATTGGGAGTATGCACTCAACCCACATCCCCTCTATGTAACCTACAGGAGGAAATGGTGATGACCCACCTGATTCGGTGTCCAGCTCTAAAGACAACGACGGAAAGCCAGAGATACTGGGACGCAAGAAGACAGCTAATGAACTGCTATGAATTAACTGCAATATATGTACCCCCCCCCACCCTTTGGGGAAGCTGAAGTCAATGTTTAAGGGCTAATGATAAATATCATATAGCATGCCATTTGAAATAAATAAATCTTTAGAGTGCGATTAACATGCAAATTACCTTAAATATTTGAACAAATATATTTATGTGTTAGCTATTGCATTGTATGGCTAAAAAATTCTTCAATAAGTCTTAAAGCCGTTTTCGCTTTAAGAATATTGCCAGTCGATTATATTATAACTGCACCCCTAATTGTGTTCAGAAAGGCCAACTCGTCAGAATTATGATATAGCGTTGAAGATAATTATTTGATGTGGGCAATCTATTGGCATAACTACTTTGGTGGATAGTGGTCAATTTAAGCGTCAATATTTCAATTAACAAATAAAAAATATCTTGACAGTTCGAGAATATTTTGCAGACTATGGAAAGATGGAGGTTGTGAAGATGTTAATTTTTGATTAAAAGAACAGGACGAAATTTAAATTTCTCTAACCAATTCGTTGCCCTTTCTATGCCTTTTTACTGTGTCTAGTCATTTTTCTTACAATGCTTAATTTCAATCTATCACTGTCTCAATTTGCATTACCTTCCAATTTTCTAATGTTGGTATTGTGGAACCTCCAATGTTGTCAAATCGAAGATTGCACTTTATAGTTTTCTTTATTCCTGACATATTGATAAATGAAACTTACAAAAGTGGGGTCAAATCTAACCTAGGTTACGCCACCTTCATTATTATTTGCACTACAAAAGAGAGACCAATAAGATCTTCATTTTGGAATGAAATTAGTGAGCGTATCAGGCTTGTCACTACAAAAACAATTGCCATTTATGCAGTATTAAGCCTTTGCATTCCAAATAAATTCGTATCATTTTATTGATGAGCAGACACGAAAAACCACGAAAGCGGATTTTATCTCAAATTCCGTCCAGTTTGATAGAGAGGCTAGAGTGGAGGTTATCATATATATCAATAAGCGGTTATCTAGCTAAGTGACTACAACCTACGTTGAAAACTAGTAATACTCACACCTTTTCTACTTTTTATAACTCAGTAGGGGCGTGCAAAAAAGTGGTGCAAAAAAGTCTATAAACCGGCAGTTGGCTTCTGACTTCAAACTATCATTACCCCACTGTATGCCATATTCGACTAATTCCACAGTACTCACCTTTTTTTCTACCTTTGTGTCTGTCTGTCTCTTTTACGTCTGTGAATCATTATTCTTTCCCCCTCTCGACATTTTTGTCACTTTGGTGTTCCACATCCCTTCTGTGAAGCACAAAGTCAACTAAAGGGCTAATGATACCTCTCATAACGCCTGCCATTTGAGATAAATATTATAACTCAGTAGACTCTTTGTTATAAAATCGCTCGCATTGGTCTGAACTCGTTAATTTTGAATATACTTGCAATGAATGCTAGAATATAAGACATTAGAGCCCTGAGAACGATTAATACTTATTAGCACACGGGTCTATTTGTGCCATTAAACAAGATGATCATATGAGTCTGCCAAATTTAAGTGGAATTAAACCAAAAGGGGTCACAGTGCCATACCCATAGAAACCACCGACTCAATGCTTAATCGATATGAGTTGGTGAAAAAGCATCAGCTTACACTTTAATGAAGAAGAGCGTGAAATTTCAAGCCTTAACTGGAGGCGGTTGTGTTTAAAATTATGTGCAATTGAAAAACTTTCATTGAACGCTTTCGATTGCAAAGTGAAAAATTAAGTTGTTCACCACAATTGAGGCAATCAAATGAAGCACCTCAAGTGAAGTCGGAGAACGTTTAAATAAGAGACCTGTATAGTTTTCATCAATTTAAAAATTTCTTTTCGAGGTATAAGCAAGCAAGCCTTCTGCACTTCAATCAGTTCGCAACCAACTCTGATACGTGTGCTATTTCTCTAAGAAACCTCAAATCTAAGCACTATCAAGTCAATTCTATTTATGCATTTTTTCATGCATTATGAAATGGACCGCGAAAGTTAATTATGCTTCGTTTGCTTAGGAGAAATTGTAATGAGGTTGCTATTATGATTTTGACTGATAATGGAAATTTCATTATGCATACTAGATTAATACCGCCTTTTTCCCATTCAAATTGCTAATCAATTCATTTCTTTTGCTGAATGATATGTAACCATTGATTAATTACATTTGCTCATGTGATAAGCTTGAATACAATATCTACTCACTAATGACCTGTGCACATGCACAAAGTGACATGAAAAAACGTGAATGCGATGAATTTCAACTTCAAGTAGATCAATTATCAGAAGTAAATTGAAAATAAAAGAAAATTCTCTCCTGATTTTTAGAGAGGGAAAGTCATTGCCCATTTCCACGGATTGCACAGTTTTATTCAATTAAAAGTGATTAGAAGAGATTGTGATCAGTGGTGACCCATTAGTATATCAAGACACATTTTTAAGTTGTGGAGCACTAACTAATGTGGCTCTTTGCGAAATTGTATTTAATTTTAGTAATAAATTTATTTAAATTAAGCTATATAAGTTGACCAAGATTATGCTTTTGACCCTTTGATGGCTATTTCTGTTGGTCAAAATGGTCAGTAATTCCTACTTAAAATTGTATAAATTAAACTAAATTGATTAAGTGAACTAATATCGAAGTTTTTGCTCTCCAGCAGTAATGAAAATATGTCTGGGATATATTTATCAGTTTATAATGATAAAACGGAGATTTAGTCAAATTTGTACTTAAAACGAACTTTGGGTTCTTCTAATATTGCTGCTTTTCTTTCAGAACGTTCAGATTTCAACGCATTCAATTACCTTTAAACACAACGTAATGTTTCGATTGAGGGGTGTGCGATAGACTTACCTCCACTCGGTGCACCCTGGACAACATATACTCATACGCCAAAAAAGCCTATAAACCGGCAGTTGACTTATAAGTTCAAACTACCATGACCCCACTGTATTTCATATTCCCCACTTCCACAGTGCTTTACTCACCATTTTCTCTACCTTTGTGTCTGTCTGCCTCTTTTACATTTTTAAAACACTCTTCTGTCCCTTCCTCCCTCTCGACGTTTACCTCTTCGATGTACCTTCCCCTCTGTGAAGCCTGAAGTCAACTAAGGAGCTAATGATAACTATCAAAACGCCTGCCATTTAATATAAATAAATGTTTCAATTGACGTTTGATAAATTGAAGATATTCTTTTATGCGTTATACTTGAGCGTTGTTAATTAACTATTTCATAAACCCTCAGAGTCGTTCTGACAATCGTTTGTCCTATTTCAAGTGTGTTCATTTAAAAGAAATTAAGTTAGTTCAACTGATTGATGCTTTTGGCAAATATTCATTTCTGAACACAAGTGGAGTCATGTCATTCAACATAGTATATCGCAAATTGAAACATAACTGCTGTTTGAAAAATTTGCCAATTAAGATTCATATGCATTTATTTAAGGTTTTGTGAACCTTTGTTTGTTCGAATTGGTTTCAAATCGATATTATTGGCATTAAGAAAAAATCTAACAAATGCAAACTTTTAAAATGTACTTACTAAGTTATAAAATTGAATGGAAAATAATATAATAGAGCACTAATTATTTGGAGAAATTGTGTAGCATAGAGGCAACAACGCAGTAATAGTTAATCAGCATTCATGTGCATTTATTTACTTCTTCGAAAATAATGCGAGACAATTTCTATAAATTTCATTGACTTGAATGTCGAAAGTTGACTTGGTGCAATTGAGTAGTCCCAGCAAATGAGAACACGCTCCAAGAAGGCCAATGCTGAAGAGAGAATAGGCAAGCCCAGAGAATATTCCATATATAGCAGGAATAGCCAGAATATATATACTGTATGCAATCAAAAGTATATCTAATATCTAAAAAAATGATAGAATTATTGACTAAAATAATATTTGCTACCCACTATCATTGTTAGGTTGAATAATATAAAGATTTGAAAGTAAGTTTTGTGATGATTCTTTTCCGCTTCAGAAGCCTCGGATGTCATATTGCTTCAAAGTAAATGCATGCATTTGAATAAAATTAGATAAATATGTTTTAATGTGAACGATTAGCCAATTGGATTTGAGACTGTGTTGGTTCATTATCAGTTTCTATGAATTACTTATTTAGGGTACAAGTTTAAAATTAAATTCCTCACAAAGACTGCCTAATCTGGAAAATCGTGTCAGAAGTTTTATGTATTTCACATTATTCAAGTTGAAATTATTTGGTGAAATATTTATGCTCCAGAAGGTATTTTCTGTGATTTCCACTGTATTGAAATCAAATATTTTTCATCGTTCAATTTTCTAAATTGGAAAATGTATACCTTCACAATTTTTGCACAGCTTTTAACAATGTACGGCTATTTCCCTTGAATAAATTTCTTTAAGTACAGTTCTCACATGGAAAAATCCAATAGCATTTGAATTTCTTCTTGGAGTGAGAGTTTCATTGCGCCAACTTCTTATTAAGATAAGCCCGGAAATGATTGAACCATTCAGATGTGGTGGATCAACGCAACAATCAACCATATCAGTTATCTATGGAGTCCAACTATCTGCAGACAAATTACATTCCACCTCTGGTCATGTCCCAGAGTAAAAAATTGACATCAACTTTTGCTTGATCACGTCTATAGGAAATTGATGCGTAAAGTGCTTTTATCAGAATAGGGTTCAATGGAAGGTTATATGCATTATTGAAAAAATATAAAGCTAATGACTTCGATATGATTTTTAGCATGCGACCCACGTAGATACAGCATGGAAACCCATATAGAGATCAATTTAACTGCAGACAAATAAAATATGCACCCACTACGTAAAGTGTTAAGTTAACCTATTTAAAATCAGATAACAGTATATTTTTAAAGGAAAATGACTTGGCAGGCTCCATTAATTAAGCAAAATAAAGTTACGTAATCTGACTCAGTTCATCAATGATTTCTTTAATAGCGCATAATTCATGAATTACTTTTAAGC